CACACAATGGAATACTACGCAATGATAAAGAACAACGATGAAGCCGTGAAACATAACATGGAGGAAGCTGGAGGTCATTATGCTGAGTGAATTTAGTCAGTCACAGAAGGACAAATATTGTATAAGACCACTATCATAAGAACTCAAGAAAAGGTTTAAGCACAGAAGAAAACATTCTTTGATGGTTATGAGGTTGGGGAGGGAGGGGGAGGGTTATTTACTAACTAGATAGTAGATAAGAATTATCATAGATGAAGGGAAGGACAGCACTCACTACAGGGGAAGTCAGCACTCTTTTTAAAAAAAGAAAAAATTAAAAAAATATATATGTAAAATATATATATAAGGAAACAGGAAAAGTGATTTTAAATCTCATTACAGATATGCAATTATTGTTACCATGCAGACACTTTTTTCAGCCTCTGTTATGCATTTTTTACATATTTTAGATATTAGTCTGTAATTTTGGGCTTGTTTTTCAATGAATATAATATTGTATTTTCCTATATTATTAAGAGTACATTAACATAAAGTTGAAATTAACATTTTCTACTTTTGAAAATAACACATTAAAATGGAAAACTCAGAAAATAAGGAGTCAAAATAAAAATCGTATTTTCCCGCCACCCAGAAATAATTAAGAAAAACAAAACTGGAGTTCACAGAACTGGATTGATAATAATCCTTAGATCATGTACACTGTCTCATTGATCCTCACATGGCCTTCTTTTATTTTTATCCATTTACTTGTTCTTTTATTTAATTTTAATAATAAGCATGTAATTATAAAATAATCAATGATATGATTTTAAGTATATAATGAACATCTACCCACCGAACCTGAGCACTAGAATACTGACAATAACTTAAATCCACCTATATGATCCTCCCCTATTCGACCCCGTTCCCACCCTTAATGACCATTAGCCTGAAATTTTTGATATTCCACTGCTTTTCAGTAAAATGATTTTATCCCATATGTAAAACCAAACCTGTTGCTATCGAGTTGATTCTGACTCATGGCGACCCTATCGGACAGAGTAGAACTGCCCCCATACGGTTTCAAAGGAGCGCCTGGTGGATTTGAACCGCCAACCTTTTGGTTAGCAGCCATAGCTCTTAACTACTACACCACCAGGGTCCAGGTTTCCATAAAAAGGATAGCCTATTATATATTGGAGCCCTGGTTGCACAGTGGTTAGAGCTCAGCTGCTGACCAAAAGGTTGGCAGTTCAAATCCACCAGCTGCTCCTTGGAAACCCTATGGGGCAGTTCTACTCTGTCCTATAGGTTCATTATGAGTCGGAATCAACTCAACGGCAACAGTTTTTATTATTATTATTATATGTAGTCTTCTGGGACTAGCTATCTTAACTCAACATTATAGAAGTAAAATTTACCCATATTATTATGTGTAGCTGTAGTGTATTCTTTCACTGCTGTGTAATACTCCATTGTGTGAATATACCATGATTCAACCATTCTCCCTTTGGGACTTTTAACATTTTAGTGTAGATTCTTCTGGTTATTTTTCCTGGAGTACATTTATATAGTTTCCTCTCTACAAAACTTGGATATTATACATACTTTCATGTGACCTGATCCTCTCACTAATGATACCTTGTTAACATAATCCTTGTCCATAAATATTCTTCTACGGCATAAATTTAAATGTCTGCATAGTATTCCATCATACAGTTACAATATACTTTAACCATTTCCAATTGTTGGAGATTCTGGATTGTTTGTAATTCTTTGCTATGATAAACATTATGATGTACATACCCTGTGGCTCAGCAATTCCCCTTTTAGAACTTTATCCTAAGTAATATCTGAACAACATTTGCACACAAATATGTACGGGTCCACCATACAGGACAATGCAGTTTGTGTTCTGCACCACGTGCGCCATCTATGTGCTCATCACAGCAGTTTTTACAATACCGAAAAAAATGATAGGAACTTAATGCCCACCAATAGGAAATGGATTAAATAAATTATATATTAAAATTATAATATAGATGCACAGTTACTGACTATGCAGAGATATTCACAACGTATTGTTAAGTGAAAAAAATAGATAAAACGGCAATACGATTCCATTTGTAAAAGAAAACTGAACATACCTGGGGAAGAGTCTGGAAGAACATACACCAAAAACTTTACGGTGATTATCTCTGGGTATTAAGATTACTGGGGATTTTTTTGTTTCGTTTTGTTTTACTTACTTATATTTTGAAGCATTGATGTATAATAAAAATTATGAAGAAACAATGAATTTTTGTTCATAATTATTGAAATATTTTTACTAAATATAAAATACGTTCATACTATAAGAATTTGGAAGAAAACAGAAATCACACATAATCCTACCCACGTTGAGATAATCAGTTCACAATGTCCAGTGTGTTTATTTCTAGTTGTTTGTCTCTGATGATATATTTTAAAATAGTTCTAATCATACTTTATATAATCTTATATGCTGATTTGTCACTTAACATTATATATGAATACGCTGTTAATGTTGTAATGGAAAAATATTCCATCATATGGACATGGCATCATTTACTTAATCATTCCTATAGGTTTTTCTGTTTTTTGCTATATCAAATAACAATGTGAGGAATATCTTTGTGCATGAGTTATCTACATTTTAGATAATTTCCTTTGGGTAGATTCCTTCTAGTGAAAAGACTAAGAGAGTATAAACATTTTTATATCTCTTGATATATATTGCCAAACTGTATTTACTATGTATTTTAAGGCAGCATAGTATAGTAGGGGGAAAAAGAAGTAAAAAAACTCCTGAATCCCATGCTCATCTCTAGTACTTGCTGTTTAACTGCTGACTAGGTAAAACTGATATAAAAACAGTAATGTTATCTAAATCACAAGGTTATAGTGAAGACCGAATGATAAATTGGGACTTCCTTAGCAATGTTTTCCTTTCCTTTCCAGACTCTCCCAGCATCCTATACTTCCGTTTGTTTCACAGCACTGATTGCAATTTGTAAATAATTTTATACTGTATGTTTCCCCCAGAAGATTTTAGGCTCCGTTAAAACATGCCAGGCAAACAGTTGGCACTCAATAAATATTGGTTGAACAAATGAATGAATGAAGTGACAGTACTTTGTAAACTATAAATAATTTGACATTTGGGAGGTATTGGGATTTTCATTATTATTATTAGTTTGTATTATCATGTAGATTACTCTAAATCTCTAGAGATTTCTTGCCTGACCATAAGTTCATTATATGGCTTTAATGCGTGTCATGCCAACCAGTGATACAAGTAGCAACACTGCTGGAGGCTCCTGGTGAGAGCTGAGCCTTGGACAATAAAGTAGTTAGTTCTCTAGGTCAGCATGCTGCAAGTTAAAGAGCTATAGTTACCATTTGTCAGACGCAAGGAAGTGGCCAGGAATCCAGGAAGTCAGTGATATTTGAAGAAGCAGGTAGGTCTTAGAGATCAGAAACAAGCTAATGGTAAGTAATCTAGATAGTAAGGTTCAATTAAAGTCAATGGGAGTTTTCAATTCCAAGCACCAACACTTAAAGCATGGAGCTATGTATATGACTCTAAAGCAAAGGGTATTTGAATTCTTTGTACCCTTATATTCTCCCTGCCAAAACTAAAACTGGTAGCAGGGGGTTTTTGTGCCTAGTTCTGCATACATGAGCAAGGTAATGGTAATAGCTGGTTGAGAAATGAAATCTGTGAATACAAACAGCTTCTGATAGTAGCAGGGAAAAGTGAGACTATTTGTATATAAGATCTTATAATATTCACATAAAATGGGTAGCCATCAAGATTTGGATCCTATAATTCTCACCTTGATTTTCAGTGGCCGACATTATAGCATAATGATTAGGATCATGGACTTTGGAAGCAGGCTAGTTGGGTTCAAATCCCAGCTCTATCATTTACTAGTTTTGTCCTCTGGACAAGTTATTTCACCTCTGTTCCAGTTTTCTCATCTGTAAAACGGGGATAATGATAGTACCTATCTCAATGGGCTGTTGTGAAGCTTAAATGAATTAATGCACGTTAGGACCTTAGAACAGTGCCTGGACATAGCAAATGCTATGTTAAGTGTTACCTATATTATAGAAAATGGTCAACTACACTGTATGCTAACCTTATCTAAAATAATAAACAGTCTCTAAATAGAATTGTTCTCATTAAAATTTTCACTTGCACTTAAACACAGTTGACTGTATAAAAATTTAAGAATTAACAAAGTAAAAAAACTTATCACAGCAATGCCATCTGTGTGTTTATCCCATAGAAGTTGTTTTATGAACACTGTCTTAAAAAGTTGTAGAGAATATATACACATTTCTTAATAGCAGACAAACAAACAAAAAAAACACAACTATTAAGCTGCAGTAAAGTTGGTCCATAAGATCTGGTCTATAGGAAGGAATATCCTTTTAAATTGCTTGTGAAGCTAAATTCTACTAGAAGCAGGAAGTATTAGAGTTCAAAGAACTGGCTGTGGAAAGATCTGAATATGGGAAGGCTTAGGCATGGGAAGACTAAATTTGAAAAAGCCTGGACCTGGGGAAAGGTTGTAAGGCCTGGACTATGGAACACGTTAGAATACCTGGATATTGCAGAGACTGGAAGACCCGAATGTTAGAAGGCCGGCACACTCCAGATGATGGAAGATGTGGATATTGAGCCCTCTGTTGGAAGACTGGGTAGTCATCGGAAGACCTGTAGATGTTGGAAGACGTGGAGATGCAGGAAGACACGGACATGCTGGAAGATGAGATGCTGGAAGACGAGCAGATGCTGGAAGCCCTGGAGATGCTGGAAGATCTGGAGTTGTAGGAAGACATGGATTTGTTGGAAGACGTGGCTTAGTCGGAAGACATGAATTTTCTGGAAGACATGGCTTTGATGGAAGACATGGATTTTCTGGAAGACGTAGTTTTGTTGGAAGACGTGGGTAGGCTGGAAGACATAGATTTGCTGGAAGACGTGGCTTTGCTGGAAGACGTGGATTTCCTGGAAGATGGAAGACATGGATTTTCCGGAAGCCACAGATTTGATGGAAGACCTGGATTTTCTGGAAGACATAAATTTTCTGGAAGACGTGGATAGTCTGGAAGACCTGGAGGTCATTGGAAGACGTAGATTTTCTGGAAGACATAAATTTTCTGGAAGATGTGGATAGTCTGGAAGACCTGGAGGTCACTGGAAGATGTGGATTTTCTGGAAGACGTAACTTTTTTGGAAGACATGGATTTTCAGGAAGACCCGAGTTGTCCGGAAGACCTGGATTGTTGTTGGAAGATGTGGATTTGCTGGAAGACCTGGAAGTGGTTGGAAGACATGGCTCCTCTGGAAGACCTGGATTGTGTGGAAGACATGGATTTTCTGGAAGACGTGGATCTCCAGGGAGACCTGGAGGTTACTGGAAGACTCGAATTTTCTGGAAGACGTGGCTTTATTGGAAGACCTGGATTTGGTGGAAGACACAGATATTGTCTGGAAGACGTGGACTGACTGGAAGACTGGATTTGGTGGAAGACATGGATTTTCCTGGAAGACCTGGATGTTTTGGGAAGACACAAATTGACTGGAAGACCTGGATTTCTCTGGAAAACATGGATTGACTGGAAGATTTGGATTTGCCGGAAGACATAGACCTTTTTGGAAGACATGAACTAACTGGAAGACGTGGGTTGTTTGGAAGATTTGGATTTTTCTGGAAGACAAAATGGTTGGAAGACCTGGACTGATTGGAAGACTTAGCTTTTCTGGAAGACATAGGTTTTTCCGGAAGACGTGGATTGGTTGGAAGACCTGGGTCTGATGGAAGATCTTGAAATTACTGGAAGACATGGATACTCAGGAAGATGTGGATTATCCTGGAAGATTTGGATTTTGTGGAAGATCTATAGTTGCTGGAAGACTGGATTTTCTGGAAGACTTGGAGGTCATTGGAAGACATGGATTGTCCCGAAGACGTGGATTGTCTGGAAGATGTGGATTTTCTGGAAGACTGGGATCTCCTGGAAAACTGGGATTGGCTGGAAGACCTTGAGATTGCTGGAAGACTTAGAGTTGCTGGAAGATCTGGAGTTGCTGGAAGACCTTGACACTGGCGCCACTGGAAACCCTGGACATTGGAGACATTGTAAGCACAGGATGTTGGAGATATTGGAAGCCTTGGATTTTGGAGACAATAGTTACTCTGGACATTGGAGACTTTGGAGACATTGGAATACTGAAAGCTATAGACACTGGAAGCCCTGGACATTAGAGACAATGCAGGTCCTGTACCCTGGAAGCCCTAAACATTGTAAGCTATGGATAACGGAAAACCTAAACATTAGAAATCCTAAAATCAGAAGCCCTGAATTAGAGACACTGGAAAACCTCAATACTGAAATATTCATATTAAAAGACATAGAATCTGGAAGGATTAAATTGTCATGACATTGGAAGTCCAGGATGCTGGCAGGCCTGGACATGAAATGATTATGGATGTTAAGAGTTCCACTCATTCAGACGCTGGAACACCTGAATGTTGGAAGACCTGGTTCTCAGAGATATTGAGTCTTGGGCACTGGAAGAACTAGCGATGACAAGGCATTGTAAAACCAGATTTTGGAGACATTAAATGATTGGAGAACTAGATGATGTAGGTGCTAGAAGATATTGGAAGAGGTGGACTTGAATACTATGAAATACATGGACTCTAGAAGATCTGTATATAGGAGACATTGAAAGATCAGGACTGTAAAATACTTGGAAGTTAGAACTCTGGACCATGAAAGACCTAGACCTTAAAGACTGACTGGTGGGGATGTTGGAAGACCTAGACTTTTAACGACCCCAGTCTTGGAGAGGTTAGGAAACATGAGCATTGGAGATGCTGCAGGCCAGAGATTAGAAAACGTGGATATTGTAACATTTAGAAAATCTGGCAATTGGAAATGTTGGATATTGTGGTGCTGGGAAAACCTGATGCTGGAGACAGTTTTGAAAGGTCTAATATTAGAGATATTGGAAGGTCTGGATGTTGGAAGGCCATGTTGAAAAACACTGGCAATGCTGAAAGACCTAGATTTTACATTAAGAGACTTATCATAAAACTATTCTGACAGTCTTTATGACTATGGTATCTCTTCTACTAAAAAAGGGAGACACAAAGAAACACATTCCAGGAAGATGACAAAAAGGAAGCAGAGAAAGTCAATTAAAAGCAAGTAGTTTGAATGGGTTCAAACCCATCTTCATTGTCTCAGTGAACTGGTCTTCTGGATCTTCACGGGTTGACAGAATGAGAGTGGGGCTTATTAAAGAATAAGCAGTATCAAGGCTTGGCAAACTACTTGGCTCTGGTTCAAGGGTCAGCAAACTTTCTGTAAAAGGCCAAATAGTAAATATTTAAAATTTTGCAGGTATACAATCTCTGTTGCAACTACTTAACTCTGCCGTGGAAGTGCAGCTACAAGTAAATGAGTGGATGTGGCTGTATTGCAATAAAACTATTTTAAAAAATAGATGAGATAGATTTGGACCAAGAACTTTAGTTTGCGAAGACCCGCTCGAGATCACAAATCTAGGGTAGAGTAAACTTAAGTACATTACAGGGCAGCATCCACTTCAAAAGAACAGATAGAGCAATTTGAAGCCCAATGGTAAATAAATATACTATGCAATTTGATGGTACTCAAGAGAGAAGTCTAGCAAGAACCTAAGAATGGAGTTCATTTTTCTAGCCAATTGTCTCAGGGACCCAAACAGGGCACCTTTTATGCAGAGCCACAATCAAGTGGGCTGCATTCAGAACCCCAGCCAAGGTAGCTGAGGTATGGTGAGGACATCCTAGTTTAGTATGCTGGAGACTTCTGAAAATAATTAGAGAATAAACCCATCTCTACAGGCTGGGCATTTATGGAGAAGACTAGGGAAGGAGACTACAGCTTGGTAGGCTCATCCCAGGCACCACAGGCTTCAGGTAATAAGTCTAATTTCTGATCTTACCCACCAGAGCTTAAGTGACAAGCTCAAGGGATGAGGGTTGGGGTTGAGTTGTAGGCTAAAGGTCCTTAGTATTTAGTCAGATAAGACTGAGAAAGACAGGGACTATCACATATATTACACGAAAAAGAGCAGACAAAACTAGTAAGGTACACCAAGACTGGACTATGATTTAAAGATCAAGTAGTGGAATATATAGACAATGGGTACCATTAAAGGTTTTTGAGCAAGGCCATATCAGGATCAGAACTGTATATGAGGAAAATTAATCAGGCAGCAAGGTACTGAATATCAAGGACTACTAGATATATATACTAGAACACCGAAGAGTTCAAGCTAAAACACTTAAAGGGTCGGATGTGAGTTATAAGGTGAGTGATAGTGGGCACTGAAATTAAGGCAGTAACAGTTCTGTCACTAAGCAGACACACCATCAAACTAACGATGACTACTCAGCATTCTGAATACCACTATTTTAAACTTCTTGAATGCCATCACAGCATACATGAAAAAGTTCAGAAGCTAGTTATGAGGAATTGCCCTTACCTAGTAAGATTGCTTAGATTAATCCAATGTCTCTCCAAAGCAGCTGAGCTAATAACTTGGTGGTTCAAGCAACGTAGGTCCTAGATAGCTTTATCATTACCCTGTATCACAGAGTGACTTAATTATCTTGAAAGTGGAACCAAGTAGATGGATTATTTTCTACAGGATAGGAATACATCAAGGTCAACGAAAGTTATTGTCCCTAATTACTATATAAATAAATATGATGCAATGATAATTACATTATAACTATAGCATAAAGAATCACTGCAGATCAAGGAGTAACTTAGGGACAAAGGAATCATTGTTTCAGGTATCTCTCAAAAACAAGCAAAGAGAAATATTAAAATTCATTTTTTATTCTTTCTCTCCCCTTAAAACTGTCGTGCATCCCTTATTTTGAGAGACACTAGACAAAGTATCAAAATATTAAAATTTTGCAAAGACAAAAGTAAAATATCATATTCTAGCTATATAATGGTTATTAATGTTATAATAATAGCAACAATTTATTGAGCATTTACTATGCTTACTATGTGCCAGGCACTGTCCTAATTATTTCATATATATTTAATCTTATAGTTATCCTATAATGCAGGTATTTCTGACCCCGTTTTACAGATTAGAAACTAAAGCCTGGAATAATTAAGAAACATGCCCATAGTCACATAGCTGGTAATTGGCAAGGGCAGGATTTGAAAGTGTGTCTATCTGACTCCAGAATCTGGGCTCCATGCTGACTCTTCACCCCAATAACACAAGGGTTATCCTGCCAGGACTAAGTACCACTACCCAAAGAGAGGGACTCCCCCACCCAGGACAGACAAGAAGTCAGTGGCAAAGTCCTCACTCTAAGTCCCATGTTCTTTTCTTGACAGCACTCACCATACCACTGCCATTAATCAAGAGCCAACTGTAGGTGTTTGCAATGATGGATTAATTACATCCTTGGCTTTATGTAGTAATGCAAGAAAGAAGAAGTGCAATGTCCCAAACACACTAGGTTCTTATTTACCTTCTCAGTGTTTGTTACTTACGCTAATAAAATGTATTATTTATTCTTTCATATATTTTTATTACATCTTTATGATTCCCAAGAACATATACACTCTGCTCCCAGCACGTCATATTTATTCCTGAATTAATAAACAACCATAACACACTGACATCAAAGGCCATGAAAGGTAATACTGTGAAAAGTTCAGTGATCAATGTATTTCACAGCACAAACATTGTTCACACAAACTTTTGGACTATATACGCTGCAGAAACCCTTTATTAGCATTCAAGTGGCAGCAACTATGTAATCCAAAAGTGTAGTTGAAAGAGCCTTCTCTGTATTTTGAACTTAAAAGATTTTCAACAAACAAAAAGTCCTTTGGCCAATTTTTTAATATTTTCTCCAAATTTCAGCAGCCTGGGCTGCCCTTTCTCCCCATAAACCAGAGTGAAGTTTCCATGCCCTTCATAATATTGAGTACAAGAATTTACCTGATCCATTTGACAACACAAAGATTATCTCCACTCAAACTATGTGTAAAATATACCAAAGGAAATTTCAGTTTTTCAATTTTGAGGACTATTCTTAGCTTAAAGAAGAAGAAACAAAACTACCCATTTACATAGCAGTGTTGTTATTAAGTTCTGTATTTACCATTCAGCTGATACCAAACTTTCACATCCTCCCATAAGTTCTGCTGACTTGTTAAACTCAACCACATTAAAACAGTCTATCCTTTACCTTCATTATGATATTTCTTAGATTATGTTAACTGGATATTGTCTTACCCCAGACAAATAAATGTTTCCATTTATCAAGCCAAAGTCCAGGCATTCCTACCCTATAGAACAGAGCAGAACTGCCCAATAGGGCTTCCAAGGAGTGGCTGGTGGATTCAAACTGCAGACCTTTTGGTTATCAGCTGAGCTCTTAACTGCAGCACCACCAGGGCTCCAGGCATTCCTAAGACAACTAAAATCAAATACTACTCAGTTTTCCATTTTATTATTTTATATTAAGAGCTCCTATCTGATGCTAGTTAAGGAGCCCGGGTGGTGCAATGGTTAAGTGCTCGGC